TATTCTAAGGTGATAATTGTATAATTCCTCTTGATGTGATCGAACTATGACAATGTGAATTGTATGCCAATAAAACAGTTGGGTGGGAGGGAGTTCTCCTGCCTCAGAAACTCAAAGGAAGCAGTTCTATTTCATCCCTTAGGATTGCTGTGGTGGAGTGACATTTTGTAATATAACCTTTTCGTGCATATACCTAATGAACGCCAGTGGCATAGTGGTTACATGTTGGGCTGCTAACTGGGTCAGCAGGTTGAAACTACCAGCTGCTCTGAGGAAGAGAGATGAAGCTCTATACTATTAATAGGAGCATTACAGGGGCAGCTCTTCCCTGGCCTTTAGGGCTGCTGTGAGTCTGAACGGACGCAATGGCAGTGAGTTTCTGTATTTTAGTTTATCCGTGTCTCTCTTAACTCCCACCAAATGACTGGGCAAAACCATGCAAATGTAGTATGGGGAACATTAATAGAGAGGAGTGATCCATTTTAGTTACCACTCCTTTTGCTTTAAGAATGAGCCATCTCAGATGCAGGAACACAGAGAATTCCGTGGGCCATCAAGGAAGAACAGCCCCCAGCGGAGCATGTTGGAAATGCCTGCCTGAAGTGGTAGAGGCAGGAGATGCCATGCCACATAGAGACCAGAGACTGAGGCAGAGATCATGAGACAGAGCAGGGGAGCAGCACTGAGACTATGAGACTGTGAGGCTGAGAGGCAGGAGGGATCCTCTGGGTGAGAGACTGAGGCCTGGAGAGACACTTGGCAACTAGTTCAGGAGAGAGGTTGTCGTAGGTCACTGACTGTATCCTTACGGTTTCCTCATCCTGACTTGTAAGCTGTTAACCTGGCTAATAGATCCACATAATTGTGAGTCTTTTTCTGAGTTCTGTGTTGCCATTTCAATGGATTATTGAAACTAGCATAGGAGTAGAGAGGGTTGGGGAGGAACCATTGGTGTCTGAACAGGGTACAGAAAGATGGAGGGGGGAGGCATGTCTGAGCTCTGTCTCCTGCCACTAGCCCGTGGGCTGGTGAAGAGTTGGCTTCTCCTTCTCTCTGTGTAGCCAGAGAAGGTCAGATATGGTTTCCATGCAATTTTCTGGTGGCTAATTGACTGAGTGGCAGTGAGCTATGAGTGCGTTTGAGTTGGAGGAAAGGAGGGTCCAATAAGTAGCATGGTGGGTAAGCAGTGGATGACTTGGGGACTGAGTGTGTGATGATGCCACTAGCTCTAGCAGGGGATATAATAGGAGCAGGTTACTTTTTGGTATACCAGGCGTACCCCACAAAGAGCAGAAATGCAATTTATTCTGCTTACAAGGAGGATAGCCTACTCTTTTCCTTTTTCCTCTAATCTACTAAATGAGTGACCAGTTCCGCATGCTTTACAATCTACAGTTGGTAAATAAAAGGAGACACATGCAAAACAAGGTACATTTCTGCAAACAAGTTTTGACGTTGTGGAAATCACATCTGTTTTCACAACTTTTCCAACACACAGCAGGGACTCTGCATATGCTCAGTACCCTTTGCTTGTTGTTTTGGTGGTAATAATTTACATTTTATAATGTGCAAAATATTAGGCAGCACATTGATTTCAGAAATCATCGTGTAGAAAAAAGAGTGTTACATCTGAGAATTAGGTTTGCATCTGGTATTGGGTATTTTTTCCTTTTTCTTTTTTAGAATTCTGGTAGTGACCCAAACTCAGAACCAAACTCTCTGCTATCCACTCAATTCCCACACACAGGGACCCCGGTGCACAGAGTAGCGCTGCCCTTGTGGGTTTCCGAGACTGCACATGCTTCACCTGAGCAGACTGCCTTCTTTCTACCGCCAAGTGACCGGTGCTGTCAAACTGCTGATGTGATCGGCAGCCCAGTTTGTAACCCACTGTCCCACCACCTTACTGCCAAAGGCATTTTCTGTCTCATCTCATTTCTGTTTCAACTTTTCTCCGCCTAGGGGGAAGCCTAATGGAATAATGGTAGCATAGTGGTTATGTATTGGGCTGTGATCTGAAAGGCCTGAAGTTTGAAATTACCAGCTGCTCCCCCGGAGAAAGACGGGGCTCTCTTCTCCTGTCAATTGTTACAGTCTCAGAAACTCACAGGGCAGTTCTACCCTGTCCTCTAGGGTCATTATGAGTTGGCCTTGACTAAATGACAGTGAGTTTGGATTTTTTTTTTTAACTGTGTTGCCTGAGGTCCCTTGGGCTATGCCTTGCCTGGGAACCAGAAGGTCAGCAGTTCAAAGTCACCAGCTGCCCTGCAGAAGAAAGATGAGGCTGGTTCTATAAAGATTTATGGCCTTGAAAAGCCTAAGGAACCTAAGGAACAGTTTTCCTCTGTCCTAGAAAAGTCTCCAAGTCTCCATATTCTGGATAGCAGTGATTTTTGTTCGTTTGTTCGTATTACTGTGTGGAGAAGATAGTGCTTTTCCTCGTATCATTGTTATCGATTTAACCGTATTGGCGATCTTGCTACACTGTTGTGTATCACACTTATGGGCAATGGACATTGAATATATGCAGAGTCATAAGTGTGCCTTTTGGAGAATTGTTTTAGGTGTGTTTTCCAGAAACACTGCATCAAAGCTTGTTCAGAGACTTTGACCTTGATTGGGCGTGTCTCACTTTATTACCTCCCTTTATAGGTGCCATGCAGTTTGGTAGCCTTCCATTCTTATTGAAATGTACTGTACAGAAGATCACACCTGCATTTTCAAAAGCTGAACACACCTGTATGTCCAGATTAACTGACTTTTACAGAGTTTGACTATGTTGCTTGTGGCAAGAGTGCGCCTCGATGAAATTTGCTGTGTACCTGGGAGGAAAGGGTGACCTTTGAACCTTTTCCTTCTACTTTCATGATAACTTCTATCCTGTTATCTGACGTATTTAAAATGAAGCTAATTATTCAACTGATCTTATATTGTAGATCATTATTATTTTCAGGTCATCCTGCTGCTTTTTTTCTGGTGCAAACAGTGAAAAGAGAAATCAAGAGAAATTGTGTTGTTGTGAATTGCTATCGAGTAAGTTAAGTCTGACGCATGGTGACCCGCGATGTGCATGTAGAACTGCTCATGTGTTTTCAAGCCTGTGACCTTCCAGAAGCTATTGGCTGAGCCTGTCTGTCCAGTGCCTCTAGGCGGGTTCAAACTGCCAACCATTTTGGCTAATGATCCAGTACTTTACCATTTTTGCCATTGAGGCACTCTTGAGGGAACCAGTGGGTTATTCTCAAAACTCTCCGTTGCTTTGTAGAAGGATGAGGCTCTCTACTCCCGCAGAGTTAGAGCCTCAGAAAGCCACAGGGCCAGTTTTGCCTTGTCATATAGGGTTGCCATGAGTTGGAATCAACTCCAGGGCAGTTTTTGGTTTTGGAGGAACTCCAGAGAAATACATACTACGTGTGTTAGGCAGTGTTCTCTAGGGAAACAAGCGCAGGCACTTATGACTACATCTATATGAATATCTCTGAGTACAGGTTATACAGGGAGAAGGAATGTAACAGGTAATTAGTCCACACAGCAGTACAGAGGGCTCAGTTCAACTCACTTCCATGGAACAGTTAATATACTGGAAGTCTGTCAATTCATGTGGGCTGCTGGGTCCAAGGTCAAGGAAGAAGACAGTGGAGTCTTCCCTTAGGCAAGGCAGGCAGAATCTTCCGTAAGGCAGCAGACAGCAGGGTGGGTCAGCAACAGCTAGTAGCTTGGGAGATTAACAAAGCTGTCTCTGATGCGATCTCAAACTCAAGCAATGCAAGGTGACTGGATACACTAGCCTCAAGCTCAAGCAATGCATGCACCAACAGCATGGTGAAGCCGGTCTTTAAGGAGCCTCAGCTTTAGGGCCAAGATCCATGGGTTGGCTTGGCCCACAGGGTGTGAAGCACTCAGGTTGAGGCAGAGAACTAGGTAAAGCAGCAGCCCACTGGTCTAATCACAAGGAAGCAAACGGGAGATGGGATGCTGGCTGTCTTTATTTATTTTGGTTGTCCTCCAAATCCATTTGATTTAAATCTAATTTATATACTTAACTTTGAAATTTACTGTTTTGTTAGAGTCCAGACACTGGGAAGTTACCTCTTGTCTTGTAGGTTTTTCCCAATGGAGAAAATAATCCCCCAATTTTGTTTTTTTTGTCTTCTAGGATATTAACAATTTATAAAATATAATGTAGTCCTCCTTCTCTAATGCTCTCTCTTATTTTCCTGTTTCTCTGATATTCTTTTCAGATGCTGTTCCTGGTAGGCTAGATAGATAAACCTGTTCTACAGATTCTCCGGGAACCAGCTTTATCCCCTAAGTTAGTGGTTCTCAACCTTCCTAATGCCGCCACTCTTTAATACAGTTCCTCATGTTGTTGTGACCCCCCAACCATAGAATTATTTTCATTGCTACTTTATAACTGTAATTTTGCTACTGTTGTGAATCGGGCGACCCCTGTGAAAGGGTTCTTTGACCCCTAAAGGGGTTGCAACCCACAGGTTAAGAATTGCTGCCCTAAGTGGTGCCCTTATCAACTCATGAGTTGTATTTTTATATGGATTCATTCTCTATTTATATGAGAAGCATTTTTATTTTGATATGACTGCAGCATTTCCAAGAAGGCCTGATGTCGCCCTAGTTTAAGCCATTGGCTGCAAACTGCAAGGTTGATGTTTGAAACCCACCTTCTGCCCTGTGGGAGAGCAATGAGGCTGCTCCTGTACACATTCCAATCTCAGAAAACCCTAAAGAGCAGTTCTTCTCTTGCTTGTTGTGAGTCGGAAATGACCTGGTGACAATGGGTGGGTAGCCTTTCCCTGGCACACATCAGCACCACACGTAGGATTGGCATTCTAGGGCATAGGAAGCAGTGCCCCACGAGTCCAAGATCTTAGTGCGTGACTGTTATTGTCCCGATTTATATCACGTTTATTCAAAGTCAATCATATGAAACCAGATTTTAATATTGAAAGTGTAGTAATAAATTACCTCTTTTTTTCCTGCAGGATCAAGCACATAACATGGCTAATGCGAAGAAAATAACAATTTGAGAAAATTTCTTGTCGCAAATGAGAGGAAGAACCAGGACTTTGAAATAATTATCTTGTGTGCACCTCATTGTACTCTTTTTAATTACTGAACTTAGTAATGAAGCCACCATTATGACCTCAGCCAGCGAAGTAAATGTTGACATCAAAGATTTCCTAATGAGCATTAACTTGGAGCAATATCTCTCTCATTTCCAAGACTTTGGTCTTCATACCGTGAAGGACTGTGCAGCCATCAACGACAGCCTGCTACACAAAATTGGAATATCACCCACAGGACACCGTAGGAGAATACTCAAGCAATTACAGATCATCTTATCAAAATTGCAAGACATCCCAATATATGCAAATGTTCATAAAACAAAGAAGCCTGGTGAGACTACAAAGGATAGCTGCGCGCCACCTTCCAATCACAGTGCTCGCATACAGCTCTCGGATCCTGGGAGTGCCCAGGCTCCCAGCCTAGTCCAGTTGGAGACGGTTCCAAAGACTCTTGATCAGAACGATGTTAATCTAGGGAGTAGCCAGGCTCTGCAATTAGATAAACTAGGCAACTTTCGCAGTCCAGAAAAAGAACCACACCCGAATGTGGCTTCTAGTCAAGATTCTTTTCTTGATGGTGAAAATACTAGAACCAAATCACTGGTTACAAAGAAGACTCCGGATTGCACCATCCAAGAACAGCAAACAGAGAGAGTCGATGTGATCATAGAAAATCTTAGCAAGCTGCCCAGTGCAGATCCTGAACGCCTCGCTTCCCTTGGATCTTCACTATCAGAAGCAAGTGCCGGCGACGGAGCTACTGCTCTATTAGAAAGATCACCGCCTTCCCCCTTCTTTCAGTTTCAAGGAGAGATGGTTGTAAACGACTTGTATGTTCCCTCCTCACCGCACTTTGTGCCTATGAGAAGTCGTAGCAAACTGGTCTCCAGACCATCCCGGTCTTTCCTGCTACGACACCGGCCTGTACCAGAGATTCCAGGAATTTCGGGGAGGTAAGAATTTTTATGGGAGACGAAATTTGGACGTTGGGATGGGGGATGTATAGTTCTTTTTAACCATTATCTTTTTAACGTACCTTTTAAAAATCCAACCTACATTTATTTTCCTATTCAACCAATGTTTTCTGTGTTCTCTTAATTTTTTTCGCATGCCATATATATCCTGTGCATTTTTATCAAGTTGATTGCCAATTCCTGATAAGAGGTGCTCCTGGTTTGTCCTATTTGATTAGTTGGGCATCATCTTAATTCTCTCTGGATATTCCTTCCCATTCCTTCTCTCTACACCAGGTGGTATATACTTCCGGGCACGTCTCATCTTGGAATTGATGCTTCTCTCTCGCCCACAGATAGTCATTCTTTGGCAAGGGGCATGAATATGTTTTTAATGTTTTTGTAGCTAATGCTTGGCACAGTGCTTGACCCCTATTATTAAATGTTCAACATATATCTTTTGAACTTAGGGTCCTAGTCACTGTACTAGTACAAGGATATGAAGAAGAAGAAAAGGACCCAGAGTCTAGGGGAGGAGACAGGAGCACCTTACGAAACCGTATCCACTAGAGACCAGAACTCCAGAGAAGGGCCCTGTCAGTGTGGGGCCATGGATACCTGTGGTAACTGTGGAGTCTTAGAAGAGCGGATGCAGAGAGCTTTCATGTTTTTCAAAGCTAGCCTAAAAACAGCTGTGGTTTTCTCCAGGACTGAGGTGCAGTGTGACTTTTTCTGCTGAAAGCTAACACTCAGTGTTCAGCTGAGAGGCGTTACATGTGACTGTGAGCGCAGTGGCATGGAACGCCGGTGCCGCGTTCCTGCAAGGGCTCTAGCGGGTGTTCCTGCCAGACGTCCCCCTCCCACTGGTGTCTCATCTCTGACAGACACTGTTCTCTCCCTGTCCTTTTGGATTCCATTTTCCCGTAACGTGATAAAAACGTGCACAATGAAACGTTTCCAGCGCGACAATGTCTACGTGTCTATTTTAGTAATATTCTGCCCCTCAGCAGAACCTACCCCTTTCCTCTGCCTGCTACTCCTGGCAACTACAGATGATTTTTGGTTTCTGTGTGTGGGCTTATTGAATGTAAATGAGATCATGCGGCATTTTCCCCTTGAGACGGGTTTATTTCACTCCTAGCGCTCTGCAGCTCATTCATATGGGGTAGGCCCCAGGACTTCATTTCTGACTCATATTCATTGTGTGAGTACGTCA